GAAGTCTGTCCAAGCTCACAGTCATTGCTTCCGTGACACTATATATCCTTCTCATCCTCAGCTATCCCCTTTTCCTTTTGCCTTCAGTCTTTCCCAGCATCAGGGTCTTTTCTGATGAGTCCTGACTTTTCGTTATGTAGCCAAAGTATTTAAGCTTCAGCTTCAGTATTTGTACTTCCAATGAAGTCAGAGTTAATTTCTTTAAGTATTGATTGATTGGTGTCCAAGGAACTCTCAAAAGCCTTCTACAGCACCACAATTCAAAAACTATATTACATAGGGATTATTTTTGGTGGAAGGTAGTACTTAGATGAATCATAAGACTATATTCTTAGCATATAAGGATTATAATTCTCTGATTGTTTTTAAATAATCACTTTACTTTTTCTGATAATGATCTGAAATCAGCACTTTCAGAGGGTATATCCAAGTTGATGAGATTACAGTTCCAATAAAAGGTCATAAGCATCAATTCTGCTATTGCCTGGGAACTAGATTTCCCAAATGACAGAATAGTGAAATGAATGGGCATGGGACTAGAAGCAGGAGACCCAGGAGCTAAACTTGGCATTACTAATGCAAACTGAACATTGAGCAAATGATCTCCTCTCTCTGAACCTTTTTCTCCCTCTTTATACACAAGGGAGTTTGAGCTAGATGATTCCACAATGTCCTGTCCTGCTCTAAAGGGCTATGATTCTCATCAAGTTGAAAAGAAGCATGACGTGTGGTCAAACCAACTCTTACTCCCACTACATCGCATTTCCCCTTTAAGAGAGCTTGCCTACCACCTAACTCTGTCAGGTAGGCTTTGGGTTTGTGGGATCATCTTTCATCAAAGAAAAATTTCATCTCTTAGTTTCCACCAGGGGATAATTTCCTTATTCACAAAGTCAATGAAGATATCTACGAATAACCTTGTGTGAATGGCATACATCCTTCCCAATGTTGGAGTGTAAAGATTAAGGTGAGAGATAATTAGATATTCTTGTGTCAGCTAATCTTAGGAGAGGCCTTTCAAGTGAAGACTGAATCATAAAGGAGGATCGGTGACATCCCAGGTCATCAATATTTTCAAGGAGATTTTTGGGGGCTTCCAACTTGAGAACCCTTTCTCTTTTTCACTTAGTTTTAAATTTGAAGTCCTAGCTGTTGCTTCCCACTGTGTGACCCTGGGCAAAAAATTTAATCATTCTGAGCCTTATTTTCTTCTGTAAAATGGGAAGGTTATTCATATCATCTCTGCCACAGAGTTACGAGAAAAATATTTCTTCATATGCTAGAAAGTATTTTATAAATGAGAATTGTGTTTTCATTTGTATTATTTTCTTTTCCATATTGAAGTTGTCCTGTAATGATACGCCAAAATTTCAAATATAAAGGGACTCAGTTTCACTCTGGTTCTCTGTTGAAGATACCAGAGCAAGTGGAAGTTTCTTCATCATCTGATATTATATTTGAAAGTCTTTATTCCTGCTCTGTCCCTCCCCCTTGCACACGTCTGTGTCACTATCTCTCTCTGTCTCTGTCTCTTTCTTTTCCTCTCTTTCTCCCCATCTCCTTTCCCTCCATGTTCCTTTTTGTTTTCTAATATTAGACCAGATTTCTGCTTTATTTTTCTTTTCTTAAACTAAAGGCAAACTAGGACTTTCATGGAATAGGAAGTTACTGTGGCAAAGGGTCATGTTTACACTTTGATTGTCAGCTCAAGCCCATTTCCTTTAAACTGAGTCCTAGTTTGTGTACCAAAATAGAGTAGTAGGAAAAACACTAGATTTGGCATCAGAAGAGCAACATGGGTTCAAATCCCTACTCTTGTTATCTGTGTGACCCTGGGCATGCCACTCTGGTAGCTGTTTTCCATGATCAGAAAATGAAGGGTGTGGGTTTAGATGGTCTCAGTCTGTGATGCTGTGATCTTCATTGTTGCCTATTAATGTCTGGGATTTCGTGAGTACTTGTGAATTTTATGCCTCATCCCTTTGGTAGCTTGCCACCACCTACCATCAAACGGAACGTTGTTCTGGGCCAAACTCGAGAATCTGAAAAATAATCATTTTGCACAGTAGGGCTACTAGGAGCTGCCCCTGTTCTTGAACGGTTTTCATTGTAACATATTTCCTTAGTCAAATCCAGTCTGGCAAACATGAATGGACAGAATGCAGAGACAGTCTTCAGCATCGTCATATGTAGGCCAGGCTGCAGCTGGCCGAGGCTTCTTTCTAGGAACTCCCCATAGTTCTTCTGGCATATTGTCCGCATTGGAGTCAGTGACCCACATCTCACCAGAACAGGTTTTTTTCTCTATTCCTTTTGCCTTACTATTCTTTGTTCTGTTGCATTTTTACCTGTATCATAATATTCTAGAACATTTGGGGGAAGGGTTGAATAGGAAGACAAGACATTCCAGATCTCTTAGTAGTGAGAACAGGATACAGACAGACACATAAATACTGCGGAAAAACAATTATGCCATATCCAGATTAGCCTGTGACCAACCCACAGAGGATCTGGTCTATGTAAAGTCTGGAACTCACTTTTTTGTCTTAAATCCTGATGTTACATTATTGAGCTCATGTTTGGTCATGTAATTGACTCCCATCAGAAATATATGTATAAAGTGATGCAGTTTTTCTCAGTATCTTTGACTATTTGCTCTTTGTACTGTTCACCAGTGAAAAAGGAAGAATAATGTATATTTGAGATAGATTACTGCATTGTTACTTAACATCTTAAACTAACCTTGAGTTATGCTTAGCTGAAATACAGTTATATTTTTAAACACCACGTCTAATCATTGTTTTCCTACCTGGAAATCTAAGTTAAGGAAGAAGACAGAAGTATGATTGCACAACAACACAGAAGTATGATTGCACAACAACTGGGATTGCTAAGCTCGATCAGATTTTAAGGGACACTAGGTCTGCATTATTGATTTCACGCTCATCCATCTCTGTCTATTGTCAGGCAGTGTGGTGTACTGGAAACTCACCAGATTTGGGAATTGGGGGAACTGGGCTTAAATCCCATCTTTACTTCTAGGATACCTTCTGTGACTTTGGGCAGATCACCTACATCTTGCACAAATGATAAAACAGGAAGAAACCTCTTTTGTAGGACAGTTTAAGGAATTTTTAGGCAGCAATAAATATTAGTTGTGAGCACACTGGAAAAATATGATATTATAACTCTCTCCTGTCAAATGTACACATTCCCATGCCCCAAAAGGAGGAAAGGAACAAAATTCAGCAAACCTTGCATGTGGAGTCATGGGGTCCCATAAGTTCTTCTGTGTGTGTATGTTAGAGGAGAGGTCTAGCAGTTAGGGACAATGATGCAAAGAAAAGGTACCCTGCTAGGTGGGGATGACATAATTTCATAGCCTTGCATAACATTAATTCAGTGTACAGGGAAGGTTTTTTTTTTAATTTGTTTGTTTGCAGAAATGCATCTTTAATGTATTGGAAATCATTGAGAAATTTGGGGTTGTTTTTTACAGACTTTTTCTTAACTTTGTTAGAACGTATTTTGGTAAGGAAATGATGATCACTAAAAATTAATAGGAAACATTTAGAAGCCATAGGCATAGCAGTCTTGATTTGTGCTGCCCTTGAAGGCATTGGAATGAATTGCCTGTTCAAATTCTTCCTCATTCTTTCTCAGTGTCACAGTTTTCCTTGTTTACCCTGGATGTTCCTCTGGAACGTACAAGCCTGACTGACTTTAGTCACCTACTTTTATGACATCAAGTCACGATGGGGAAATCTTGGTGCCAGTCAGTGCAAGTCCACGTGGTGTTCACTCCAGAGTTCTCGGAAGAGGTTAAATGGGGAAATGGTGGCAGTCACAGCAATATTTTTATATGGCAACCTAAAGTAGCAAAGAGAATTATCAGCAGATCCAGATGTATGAACCAGGGTACAGCGTCCCTGCAGAATATGTTTATGGTATCAGGGGCAAAAATCCTATCTTAAGCTTATCAGGAAAAAGCCAAATAGGAGAATTCAGTTTTCTATCTTAGACCAACAAAAATACGTAATTGATTGGTTGGGGAGATAGGGTCAGAAATGGTCCAAAAATGGCAGCTCAAGGAAAAGAGATATAATCAGATGAGGTTTTCAGAACAGCCACTATTCCTATCCATCTTTTAAAATCTAACTCCAATGCCACCTCCTCCATGAAGCCTTTTTTCTGTTGGTCAGTAATGACCTTCATTCTTCAACCTCACTTGAGCACTTGGTTTTGTCTCTGCCCAACGCACTTTATCTGGGCTTGTGTCTTATGTCCCTAGTAGACTGAAAAGTCCATGAAGAAAACGACTGTCTTAATGAAATTTTCTGTCATATAATATTTGCATGGTGTTCTGTACACAGCAGGTGCTTAATAAGTATTTATTGGATGAATGAGTGAATGAATCGAAATATGGAAAATGGGGATGCATAGGGAAGATTAGGACCTTATTTGTAAAAGAGCTGGTTCTGCCAGAAGGCCTTCGAGGTCTTTTCTAGCTCCAGATATGTGATCCTGTGAAGTGTGTGTGTATGTGTATGTATGTGTGTGTGTGTATGTTTATATAAGATATAAGATATGAAACTTCAGAGGAATGATGACATTGAAATGTGTTTGCATTAGCTCTGAGAATTTTTATTTGGGTGATGGGTCTTTTTATCATGTTAGCAGACAAGCTCCTAACATGGAAGGGGTTGGGTTTTTCCATGAAATGCTTAAAAATTACCTAACCGGTCTGTGAAAAAGCCTCCATCTTTTATAACCCTTTGCTTCTTCCATATATTTTTGCATGCAGCTTACTAGTCCTTTCAGGTGTGGTGTTTCCTCTACCCTAGCATGAGACATGGCTGGATTGCAAGATTCTCTGTGGGCTTATTGATACTTTGGAAATTTAACCTCTCTGCACAGGGTTCTGTTGCTTATTTACAGAATTCCAACTTTCCCATTAAAAAAGAACATTATATTAAGAGAGTCTTCTTTCTACCAATTAGGTCAAAGTCCCAAAATTTTAAGACCAAAACCCCATGGTTTAGAGCGAACTGATTCACAAACCATAGGTGACTTTGCTACAAGACGAAAGGGTATGTACTTCAGCACCGCATGCTGTATGGGATTTTAAATTTGGGATTAAAAAAAAATTTCTTTTTACATTAAAGAAAAAATGGGAGGGTAAGGCCTTTATGACTACTGCTATTGCAAATGAAGCTTATCTATCTACATTTAACTTTGGGAGGGAGAAAAAGAAACCCAACTCCTGGTATATTGGATAAGTTACTTAGAGCTGGAGTTAGGAAGACCTGATTCAGATGCAGCTTCAGACACTTAGTAGATTCATGATCCTGGGCAAGTCACTTAACTTCTCATCTGTAAAATGAGGAGATTGGACTCATTGGCCTCTAGGGTCCATCCCAACCAGCTCTAAATCTATGATCCCTATTGTCTTGCAAACAAAAACAAAAAATAGAGGAAGCTTATGTCTAAAAAAAAAAAAAAAGGAAATATTTGGTATTGTTACTTCTCATTTCCTCAGTCACTTTTTTGACCCCAAGCTTGTGGATGATTTGTGTTGTTGCAAATGGTGTCTCTTGCTGGTATTCACCACACTTTAGAGAATGCCATATATGTAACCAACTTCCATGAGTTAGTGAGGTTCGTATTTGAAAAAATGACCGGATTCCATTTGTCAGCTTAAACTATAACAAAAATCTGGGGTTTAAGAGGGAATCTCAGAAGGCAAGGTCAGCCAAGGCAAGGTCAGACACCATAATTAGTTACTACATATACAGCAATCAGCAAAGTTATTCTGTTATCTCAAAAATTTTAATGAAGCAATTCATAGTTCATTTCTTGTGGCCTTGCCCAGTGCCTTCAGTCATGTGCCTTATGGAGCCTGTTTGAGCATCTGACATAACCACACATTATGTATTATGGCATTATTTATAGTAATAACTGATTGGAATAAACTGAGCTGTTTTTCTGAGCCCATCATTTCGGGGGGGGGGGGACCTTTTTTTTTTTTTAACTTGAAGAAAAGATTTTGGTGATGGTGACCAGTAATTGTTTAGAATTCAAAGAGGAATTCATCATCTAAGGGAGGCAGTGTGCAAATTAAGTCTTTAAGCTGTCACATGGATATGTGTGTCAATTGGCTTTTCAGACTGCCTCGAGATCTGATTTATTGAGCAAATCAGGATCACCCATAAAGCAAACTAATTATCTCCAGTTGTCATTTGTTGGTTTTATTATAATTCAGCAATGGAAACTGGGCAATTTACCTTGTCTCCCATAGAGAAAGCAAACTAGTTTTTAGCCAGAAAATAGATGACTAATTTTTTACATCTTTGGCTTACCTTTATGGAATTACTAATTTTTTTTTTACTAGACATAAATCAAATGTTTTAAGACACAGTTCATAGTGAAATGTTTTATTTCATTATGATATTTTAAGACAGATTCTTAACCTTTTTTGTGTGTTATGAACCTTATTGATACTCTGGTGAAGCCTATGGATCCCTTCTTAGAATGTTTACATATACATAAAATACGTAGAAAACCAATTATATTGAAATACAGTTAAATTTAAAAAAAAAAAACACATTTATGAACTCCAGGTTAAGATCCTCTATTTTAAAGTAATATTTTGAAACCTTAATTATTATTTCTTTTTAAAATACAGTGGAGAGAGCTCTGGCCTTGGAATCAGGAGGACCTCAGACACTTGACACTTAACTAGCTGTGTGACCTTGAGCAAGTCGCCTAACCCTGATTGCCTAGCAAAAACAAAAACAAACAAACAAACAGAAAAGTACAGTGGAGAGAACTGTATAATTACTGTTGGGTTTGGGATGCATTTTTCTATAGTAGAAAGAGCCCTGGGATTTGGAGGTCAGAGTACCTGAGTTCAAATTCTGTCTCTGCCATTTTAACACCTTTCAGCCTTTGGCGATCTCTCACCCTCTCTGAGGCTGTTTCCTCATCTGTAAAAGGAGGATAATAAAGCTTATACTGCCTACCTCACTGGGCTGTTGTGAGAAAAGCCGCTAAAGCACTATAAAAAATGAGCCAGTTTTGTACTTTTTAAGTTTAAGAAGGAATGTACTTTTAAATGCATATTAAAAGAGAAAGGGAAAAAAAACCCCCTCCATAATGCAAGAGTACCATTCAGCATCAATTGATCAAGAAAAGTTTAATTGAGAAACCTAAAACAAAAATGAAATGCTTATTCACAATTTTCTTTTCTTTTTTTTAATGTTCATGAATTAAATAGGCATTTAAATTGAGAAGCAATGTAGTCTAGTAATATAAATCCTGGACCAAGAACTAGGAGACTTGGTTTCTGATTCAGGCCTGCCACTAATTAGCTGTGTGATCTTGGTCACTTATTTCTCCGGGCCTCATTTTCCTCGCCTGTAAAACAAGGCAATTGAACTAGATCTTAAGTATATATGTAGACATATACATATACACACCAGTATTACAGTACCATATGTGTTTTACATTGTCCTGTGCCTTAAGAGTCTGTCTCTCTTTCTCTGTGTTTTTCATACAGTAAAGCCAGCACCACTGGAAATCAAACCATTGCCAGAATGGGAAGAGCTCCAAGCCCCTGTGAGATCTCCTATTACTAGGAGTTTTGCTAGAGAGTAAGTCTTTGGTTTACTTGCATTACTTTGATTTATCATTGCTCATGATTGTGAGTAATTTTGAGAAGCTGTGGAGTACCTAGGAAGCAAGCGGGCATGGAATGAGAAGGAGGGAGGAGAGCTCAGTGTCTCCTCTTCAAAAATGGGAATAATGAAAAGCACTGCACAGAGATTGTGTATGTGGGATATTCATTTCTCTATATATGTGTGCAGACACGCTGGAAGGAATTGCCTGTTGATTGTATACATATGTGTGAGTATTTACAAGTAGGTGAGGATGCATTTTGAAAAGGACTTTCACTATGTTCCACCATTCCAAAACCACCATCGATGTTGGTATTTTCTCCAGAGATGGGGTGCAGTTCAGCCATGTCTGCACAACCTTTGTATCTCCCATAAATCTCCTACTTGGGGAACATCTAACAAATTAAGGGGTCTTCTAGATCAGGAGTTCTTAACCCTTTTTGTGTCCTATGTCCCCTTTGATCATTTGGTGAAGCCTTCAGACCCCTTCTCAGAATAATGTCTTGTTGGCTACATTCATAATGGAAAGAATTGCTAAATCCCAGTTAAAAGATTGACAAAATAAAGATGCCATTTTTTTTTCCATCCAAATTCATGGGTCCCCTGACATCTATTCATGGACTCTGTCCATGGATCCCATGTTAAGAACCCTTGTTCTCGACCATTTGACTTACCATAAATCCCAGTTGAGCATGTAGCCAGTTCTCTGGTTGTCTTTTGCTCCCAGTGCATAGCCAGATCATCTTTTTTTCCAGCCAAACATCCTGTAGGCACACATAACATAACTGGATTATTTAAATGGTATTTTCAAATATCCATTTTTTATTGAAGTTGTTTTTATGTGGTATCAGATGGACAGTCCCTATTAAGAGAAGCAGCATGACACAATGGACAGAGTACTGAACTCAGGCTTGGAGTAAGGAAGGCCTGTGTTCAAGTACTGCCTCAGACACTTAGTAGCTATGTGACCCTGGGCAAGTCACTTAACTCCTCTGTGCCTCAGTTTCCTCATCTGTAAAATGACTTTCTAAGGTCCCTTCCAACTTTACAGCCGCAGTCTGATGATCCTATAATTTTGTTCCCACACAGAATAACTCTGTGCATGAAAAGAAAGATGACCTTTTAAAGATTAAACTCCAGAGAGTCATTATCTATTTCAATGGGCTAAGAATAAAGTACTGTGTGAGATCATAAATAAAACTCTGATGAATACAAACAGGGATCAAAAAAAATTAAAGCTCCCACTTACAATTTTTATTTCACTTTTTTTTTGACAATTTTATTCCAGTTTATATTGCTTATAAAAAATAATTCCTGGTGATTAGCTCCTCCAGGTTTCCTATGTCTCCCAGACCGGATTCAGTTCATAGCACAACTTCTAGCAGCGACTCCCATGACAGTGAAGAGAATTATGTGCCCATGAATCCAAATCTGTCCAGTGAAGATCCCGTAAGTAAAATCTGCATGTAAAGTCAGCTCTCTTCTCACCTAGTTGCTGCTTATAACTCATTCAGATGGAGGCAAGACTGTACTCCTAAACCTACATCTTTTCTTTATGTATGAGGGAAAAGGCAATCTCTTAAAATTCTTTCTCCCCTTCTCTCTATTATCATTGATGATATTTATGATTAATTCAGTGTAACATTCTAGATACAAACTAAGTCAAGAGCAGAATGTTTTCTCAGTGAAGTTAGTGAAAGAAGTGTAAGTGCTTTACCAAGGCAATATCCTTGGGATATATTTGGGGTTCAAAATATATTTGTATATTTTACACATAATGTCTGGGTTTTTTGTTTTGTTTTGTTTTGAATACCAAAGCAGTCATACAATGGTGTGCCCAAACCTCAGATATAAAGGATAAATTTCAAGCCTCATTTTCACTCTAATTCTACATTTAATATACTAACCAAGGTGAAGAAGATGGTTTGAATGGAGATTAAAATATTTTTTTTCTTGCCAATCTGATGTTAAATTTGTAAATTTCTCTGCCTCTTTCCCCCTCCCCAGTCCACTCCTCACCCCAAATTTCATCATTATATAAAGTCTCTGCCCTTGAATTCATTCTTCTTAAACTAAAGACAAATTAGAGCTTTCCTGAAAGGGGGAGTAACAGTTAGCAAACTCATTAATTAAGGTTTTGCTCTAACTTCAGCTGTCCACTCAAATTAATTTACTTTTAATTGAAACCAATTTATGCCTCCAACATGGTGCTGTAGAGAAAATACTGGATTTGAAGTCAGAGGACCTATGTTCAAATCTCATTTCTTACTACCTGTGTGACCCTGAGCAGGTCTTCTAACTTCTCTGTACATCAGTTTCCTCATTTGAAAAATCAGACGTTTGAACGAGGTGACCTCCAAGGTCCCCTCCAGCTCTAAATCTCCCATCCTATGAAGTTATAGAGAAACTGCTGATGTACTTTGTTTGGGGGGAGTTTCTTTACCAAGTCTTCTCTATGATGATGAAATCACAGGTCTGACGCATGCCCCTCAAAAAAGGAAATTAACATGTGACTGGAGTCTTGATATAGTACAAACTTGTACTGTGAGAGTAAGCAATGACCCTGTTTGAACAAAGTATTTCTGATACTTCAGTAATTAACCCCACTCCACTCTCCTCCCCCTCCAAGATGGAGCCTAAAGCAAACTCAGTGGTGGAATACCCTGTCACATTATAGCAGGACATCAGAATAGTAGCAGCAAAAAACATATAAGCTTCCCTCATTAGGAGATTGCACGAAAATAAGTTTTTGCTGATATTTTTAGTTTTTATAGTATGTGTTTCCCACTGCGTTCCTACCTAATCACTTCCCGAAGATCCATCTGGGAGCTGGCCTGGACTAAGGCATCCAGTATAAAATTATGACTTTTTGAAACCTTTGTTATTTGGTTATCCTTCGGTTTTTGATTAGTTGACCATGTGTAACGGATCCTTTTTAGTAACTGTATTTTCTTCCCTAGTAATTCAGTTTGTAGAGCACATAGGATCTGAGTCTGTTAAGACTGGGAACAGGTCTGGAACAAGGAAGACCCAAGTTTAAATCCAGCCTCAGGTGCTTACTAGCTGTGTGACCCTGCTCAAGTCACTTAACCTCTGTTTGCCTCAGTTTCCTCATCTGTAAAATGGGGATGGGCACCTGCCTCCCACGGTTGTGGTGAGGATCAAATGAGATAATAATTGTAAAGTGCTTAGCACACTGCCTGGCATATACTAAGTGCTATATAAATGTTAGGTATCATTAGTATTATTATCAGTGAGGCCAGCATGCTAAAGTAGGCCTATTGGCAAATAAAATATTTGTTGAATTGTTTGGAATGTGATGGAAAATGGGCTGAGCCATCTATCAAAACCAGAGAAAACCTTGAGTTGGGCCTAACAAGAAATAAAACTAATTTTTTAGTGAATAAAAAGAACTCACTGCATTTTAAAACTTCAAGATATAACTTTGAGTTGACTCGGGGAATTAAAACAAGCATATAAAAAGAACAGTAAGACTTTTTACTTATTTTTTCAGCCCTGTAAGAGTATATTAATGTGTTTAAAATCAGCTCCATTTTTTTTTCTAAGCCCTGAAATTATCAAGCCTTTTTTTCCTGTGCGCCTCGCTAATAATCTTTCCCTGCCAGTCCAGAGGGCTCAGCCCACTTACAGATGGGCTATTTGCTCTATATAGACATAAGGCAATAGAGTATTAACTGGAAGAGTTTTAATCTTTGAAGAAGTAAATCAAATCTTACAAGGCCCTTTGGTATCAGGGCACCTTTTGAAACCTGGCAGAAAATGTTTCTTCCATAAAGACAGAAGAGAAAATCGAAAACTATTAATTGAAGTCTGTTTTAAAAAAATGTGTTTTTTAAACATCCGCTATGCACCAGTCACTGTGGCAGAGATAGGCAATATCCAAGACCAAATAATAGTCCCTGCCCTCAATGAACTTATATTCTACTGAAAGGAAATAGCACATACTTAAGATGTGAATGCAGAAATACATGCAAAGTACTTTGGGGGATAAAGAACATCAGGAATTTGAAGGAATTTAGAGGAAGGAATTAGAAGGTGCCTCATGTATGAGGGAGTACTTGAAATGAGCCATGAGTGGATATAAGCATTGCAAAAGATCGAGATGAGAAGGCACGACATTTCAGTCTTTATACAGACTTAGAACAGGAGATAGAATGTCATGTTTGGGGAAGCAAGTGAACCTGTTTGGTGGGACCTAAAAGTATGTGAGGGGGGAAGAATATGAAATCAATCTAGAAAAACTAAATTGGATCCAAATTGTGAAGGGCTGGACATACCAAGCAGCAGTGTTTGTATTCTATTCTAGACCAGTGAAGTTTGCTGAATGGGGCAATGGCATGGCTTTAGGAATGTCAGAATGATAGCTTAATGGAGGACAGACTGGAAAGGTCAAAGACTAGAGTCAGGGAGAACAAATAGGAGGCTATTGCAACAGCCCACGTGAGAAATTGTAGCAGCCTGATCTAGAGAGAAGATTTAGAGGGAGTGTTCAGGAGGAAAGATTGAAAGAGCTACATTGAGGATGGGTATTTGAGTAAAAGGAGAAAGTTGGAAATCAGGGACTTTGGGATCTGTAAACTGAGAGAAATTGGAATGTATGAAATATTTCTGCATAGACACTACTACCTTCTCTGGTATCTAACAAAGGGCTGGGGAGAAAAATGCCTGATGAGTGGACAGCTATATAAAGATACCATGTTTAAGCATTGTTACAAAAGGCCTGGTGCCATTTTGGAAAGCTGGAATGTTTACCATCCTTCATCTAGCTCATCATGCTAGAGCAAGACTGCAATATTATGCAAAGAGAAGAGTCCCTGGAAATGTCCACTCTCTTGCAGAAGAGAAGGAAACAGCAAACAGAGAAAATAACCATTTGCACAAACTCACTACCCAATATTCTACTGATTTTCTTATTTTTGTTATCATAATTTAATCTGCAAGCATCTGTACAAACTAAATACAATAAATGCACATATTTAAATACAAAATACATATATGCAAGCTAAATACCATGTAGCCTGGCAGAGTACTAGAAATGAGAGCATTGGATTGGGAGTTAGCAAGCTATGTTCTAAAGTCAGAGTTTTAGAGCTGGAAGAGGCTTCAGAGGTCATCTTGTGCAACCCCCTCATTTTGCAAGTGAAGAAATTGAGGCCAAAGAGATTAAATGTTCTGTTATGGTCACAAAATAAGTAGTAGCCCCAAGACTTCAGTCCAAGTCCCTTGGGTCAAAGTCTTAATATTCTTCCCACTACGTACTGCTCCTAATCTTCGATTATCCTCCTAAGACCTGCATTCTGTTCTATAAAATCAAGGGCTGGGCTAATTATTCTCAAGTCTCTCAGCTCCAAAATTCTGATGAATCCACAAGAGACAGGAAAGAGCCTAGATTTGGAAGCAGAAGACTTCGGTTCAAATCTGGGCCCTGTTATTATGACTTTAGGCAAGTTGCTTTACTTTTGTACCTCAGTTCCTCACCTATAAAATAAGTAGATTATAATAGATGCCTTCTGAGGTCCTTTTCAGCACTAAACCCATGATCCAAGGAAGTGTGGCCAAATTTTAAAAATAATATTTTATTTTTTCCCCAATTACATGCAAAGGCAATTTTTAACATTTTTTTTTAATTTTGTATTTCAAATCCCCCCCCCCTTTTCCTGAGAAGGCAAGAATTAGATATAGATTATACGTATACAGTCATGCAAAACATATTTCCATTTTAGCCATGTGATGCAAAAGAAAACACAGACCAAAAAAAAAAAAACCATGAAAAAATAAAGAAAGTGAAAAATAGAATGGTTCAATCTGTATTCAGACTACATCACTTATTTCTCTGGATATGGATAGCATTTTTTATCACGAGTCCTTTGGAATTGTCTTGGGTCATTGAATAGCTAAGTCATTCACAGTTGATCATTGTACGATATTGCTGTTACTATGTCCAGTGTTCTGGTTCTGCTCACTTCACTTTGCATCAGTTCTTGTAAGTCTTTCCAGGTTTTTCTGAAATCAGCCTATTCATCATTTCTTATAGCACAACAGTATTCCATTACAGTCATATACAACAACTTGTTCATTCCCCAGTTGATGGGCATGCCCTCATTAAAATCACTTAGTGTAACATTCATGTTGAGGCAACACAGGAAACAGTATAGTATCAAGAAAACCTATATTTGATGTCTTCTTATGACACATACCAACTGTGTGACAATAGGAAAACTATTTAACCCAGATAGCATCAGGACAATAAGTAACAGATAAGTTGGTGATCTTCATCAGCAGGATGATGGGGGTGTGGGAAGGGGTGGTGTTAGAGTTCCACACTGGGAATTTCCCACAATGATGAAATACCCAGATATGGACCAAAAACAAAACCAAAAAAAAGTTGAGGCATCACAGATTGCAGCTTGATACGCCAATGTAAGTGTGACCTGAGATTGAATTTTAAAATTGTCTTTGTTGTTGTCCCAAGCACATATTAATTAAATTGCTGTTATTTTAATTTATTTCTTTTAAGTTTAGCACATCTTACTTCATCTATGAGAAGTTTTTTAAATGTATATTGTTTACTAAATGAAGATGATTGTTTTATCTCTTTCTCTTTAAAACAAATGTTTATTAGAGTTAATTGAGATATCTTGATTATCTCATGATTTTTTTGTTACAATTTCAGAATTTGTTTGGCAGCAATAGCCTGGATGGAGGAAGTAGTCCAATGGTAAAACCTAAAGGAGACAAACAAGTGGAATACCTAGACCTAGATTTAGACTCTGGGAAATCAACACCACCACGGAAGGTAAATGAAACTGATATACTAGGGAAATACAGAAACTAAATGCAGTTTGCAAACCTGAAAAAAAGAGACATTTCACCTGAAGAGGAGATGTTGTCAACGAGCATAAGATAGGCTAAATGTGTATGCTTTTGTTTGTCTATTTTTTTTTTCGTTAGAAATTTCATATTTGATTTTGATGCAGTGTCTGACACATAGTATGTGCTTAATAAATACTTCTTAATCAATTGATAAAGATTATGAATGTTTACTATAGATAGATGGTCAGATTTTCCTGCCACTATTTTCTCCCCTTTCTACCCCTATCCCCCTCCAGTTCCTTGAGGGCAAGGGATATTTATTTTTAGCTTTATATCACCAGAATTTGGTGCTGTACCTTACATGTAGTAAACATGTAATAAATTTTTGTTGGATGGAATTGAATTATTTTTTTATTAATTTATTTTGATTTATCAAAGGTCACTTCCATGAGCTTTTGTGTTTCACATTTTCTCCCCCTTCCTCCCTAAGACAGCACACGGTCTGATATAGGCTATACATATTCATTCCTATTAAACGTGTTTTCACATTAGGGATGTTGTAAGGAAGAATTAGAACCAATAGGAGGAACCACCAGAAAGAGGAAACAAAACACAATAGAAGAGAAAAAAAATAGCAAATAGTATGCTTCGATCTGCATTCAAGCTCCATAGTTCTTTCTTTGGATGTGGATAGCATTTTCTATCATGAGATCTTTGGAGATGTCTTAGATCCTTGCATTGCTGAGAAGGGCCAAGTCTATCAGTGTTAGTCATCGCACAATGTGGCTGTTACTGTGTACAACATTCTCCTGGTTCTGCTCACTTCCCTCAGCATCAGACCCTACGAGTCTTAGAATTGAATTCTTATAATGTACTTAGTAGTAAGGGAATATACAAAAGAGAGAGAGAGAGAAGGTAATTTTGATAAATCTAGGGAAATTCCCAGAACAAATCGTTGAGGATCAGTACCTTTCTAGAATGTATTTAGTTGACCGGTCTTCATATAATAATCTGTCTCTTGTTTCTTAAGCAGACTCTCCAGCGGATGACATTGTTTTTCTTAGTCCCAGTGTATATTTGTTTCGCCCTCTCCTTTCCCCTTCTCATTTTTTTTTCCTTCTTTGCCTTTAAGCAAAAGAACAGTGGCTCTGGTAGCAGCGTGGCCGATGAGAGAGTGGACTATGTTGTAGTTGACCAACAGAAGACATTGGCACTGAAGAGTACCCGAGAAGCTTGGACCGACGGGAGGCAGTCTACAGAATCTGAAACTCCCACCAAGAGTGTCAAATGAAGATTCTGCTCCAGCTGCCTTCCAAGAACAGAAGAAGCTAGAATTCTCAAGATAATTCCTGGTAACCTAGGGTACAGAGCCACATCCACAGCAGTGTTTGACCGAAGAGGACTTGACTGTTCAACTCTGGATAGACCCTTGAAATGAATGGAGTTGAAGTCAGTGGACGTTTCAGACGAAATCAAGCGATTGATTACGCTCAATGGTGCTTTGTGGTATCTGAACAAATTACAAGATGTAAATAACGTAGAAAAATAGTATTGTTTAGCTCCCAGAAAAACATTCGTTCTCCATTTAATACGTTTGTAGTATTACTATATTTATGCACTTTTTCAGTTAAAATATGGGTTCAGGTATTCCCAAATAATGTACCTTAACGCAGTTCTTTTGGGAGTTCTCATTTTTCCTCACACTATTCTAAATAACAAGTCGAGGTTAATTAAGCTACATATAGAGTGGAAATTGGTGTCTAAACTTCACTTGTCCATTTTAAAGTGCATTAGAAGTAGATTCACAACTTAATTGACTACCTGAAACTTTAAGTGGTAAACAGTAGTTTGCTCCATTTTTTTATTTAATGCAAAGCATAATGAGGGGCTTACCATTTGCCCTCCTAACACATATGCTATAAGTTAATAATAATGAACCATTCTGGATTTAGGACTTACTATTCTTCCTTAGACACATTTAGTTCAGCAGCGGAATTTCTATTGTTGTTTTTTGTTTTTGTTAATGACAGTGTTTGGGGTGCATTGGGTGAAGATTCTGCAGGGTAGGATCTTGCACTTTTAAAAACTCAATAATTAAATATCAAGTTAGCCTGCAAACCACTGAGGGCATGCAGTAATGTTATGATTCACATTTATTAACATGTACTGATCTTTACATTATTTACAAAAGGTAGACTATATAAATAATCAGGTACGTACAGAGCACTGCTGTGCTAATCACACTGATCAGGTTTAGACAGTGAGCTTTTAGTCTTACTTAGAAGTCCTGGTATTTGGTTCCCAACTTGAAATTAATGGGACAGTTGACATTCACTGTTAGTACTAGTAACATACTGTGATTTTTTAAGTAGACAGTAATACAGATTTATTATTCTATGAATGGAAATAACTATGTTTTGACACCATAGTGCCCTTTCTATGAACTTTTATTTTACTTAATCTTCTTCTTGGCCTTATATTTAAATCCCTATGCAACTGATATTTTATATATATACATTTTTTTAAAAGAGCAGATGCTGTTATGTAAGTAATTGCCATGTGTGACGCCTGTTGCTTTTCCAGTAGAGGATGTAAAGGTTTTTTGTACTGTGATTTTTATTCACTGCCCCAATTCCAGGTATACTTGGAGCCTCAGTCTAACATGACTTGCTAGAATGGGGAATTCAGCTTTGGGCACCCATAACTAGGTTTGTTCTTGAGAGCACCAGAAGAACTTTGGGATAACGTTATCTCTTATCTTAAACTTGGTCCTATGCCATGAGTACCAAGGTGATGGCATCAAAGTCAGACTACAATGTATTAACCTGCCTTGGTTTAGAAACGTGATTTAGTTATCAGGAGGAAACTACCATTCTTTACCTAATAGACATATATAAGGCCTAGTATATATTGAATGGAATGTACTAACATGGAGGAGGGAGGGAAAAAGAGGAAGGGAGAAGACTAAGTTCCCAGTTGTAAGACATCTCTCTCTTCTTGTATCCAGACCTCTGACTGTTGTCTAATTAAATGATTGTGTCCTGTTTTCTAGCATGTTGGCCTTACTACTGTGCCTAATCATCTTAGTGGATTTTTTTTTCCCTCAATCCACAGTATATAAATTATCCTAATAAGGTGGCTTGTAAAACTAGTAACATTTTGATGCTTTCAATGTTTGCTTCTTTTTGGAAAAAAAAAACCCACAAAAAACTAAACCAACACAAAACTAAACCTGGGACATACTTTATAAGGTGATTTTAAAAAATAAATCAGATTGTTCAAGAGTGATGTGTTAAACTGTTTTGCCATGGAACCATAAAATAAAGGCTAAGTGCTATGAAATGTGCCTAAACTACCCAAACATAGTTAGTTGGTCTGTGAAAATGCTAAATTGTGTTGCCTGGTACATGTGACTTAAATCTTAAAACATTTTCAAGGAGAAGTTAAAGATAACTGAGAAATAGGAACTGTATGGTGTTTTTTTAATTGTCTCTAGGATCTCAAGCTATGGTGAAAAAATGGGATAGTTTCTTTTCTGCATAACTTTGTTAAGTTATTCATTATTTTCCCTAGGAATGCAACACTCCCAGCAGGTCATAGTTGTGAGTATTTTCCCATCATGCAGGGTGAGCACTTGGTACTTGAAATATTTTAGAAAGACAGTTTGCTGTAGGAAATTAACATCCACTAAAAATTTTCTTGCCAATGTTAAATGAAAAACAGATGAAATTCTCCTGGAAAGTGAGTCGGTGCTAAATCAATCAGTGGTATTGTGGAAGTCCAAGAACACTGTGCTGGCTTTGGGTATTTCAGCTGTCTTTTTTCCATGTGATCGGTGTTCATAAAATGTTAAATATGTATTTTAAACATTAAAAATAATTTTGCTAATGTCTTGCTTTCTAAGCAACTACTACATGTCATGCAGGTGTCTAGTGTTTCAAAATTTAATCTTTATTTACATTTTTTAAAAATTCAAATTTTTTACTCTTCTGACTTTCAAAGGATTTAAGCTATTTGAACCCACGGTAGGCATCTCTTAGTACAGTTTTTAAGCTGTCAGTCGTAATGTTTTTGTCTGTACTCCAGCCAGTTCCATGTACACGCAAATATATCAATACCACATGAACAACTGTGAGCAGAATAGAGCACGCAGATACTCTGAGGTACATAGTTATATATAGGCACTTGTGACTTCTAATTAAAAAAAGCAACTACATGCAACAGGAGTAATAACAGACCAAATTTAATTTGATGTGTAAATACTGCAGTGCGCAACCCAATCATAATTTTCCCTGGTCTGATTTTTTTTTCCCCTCATACTAGGACAAATGAAGTTAGAATGATTTTTGAAATATGTTAATTGTGAATGTTAGAAAGCTGAAAATATAAATCAGTTTTATTCTCACCAGTGGGAAGTTACCACGTTTCTCCCATTGTATTCCATTGAATCTTAAAGGTTTATAGCTACATAATATTTCTGGGACATGAAGTAGAACATGCCCAGTTGCTTCCAAACATCCTTAATGCCTCCTTATTTTGCCTCATTGAAAGTGCTGAAATAAGTATTTTATAGTGCTATGCAAAGCCTCTAACATTTAGAAACAGTGAGAGATGGGGTGATGGCTCTAGTTTTATGACTTGACCATGGACAGTGGAAGGGAAGGCGGCAAGTAATGATGGGTAATGTGAGTGTGAATGAACATATCAAACATAAACATATATGTGTGTATGCCTATGTGTTTATATATGTATATAAATATATGTATTTGTATACATATAATTTCCCATAACAGCACAGTTACTATTAATAACACCCTCATTTTTATAAACATTGTGTATGGTATTGTCAGAAAAATTGTATTTCATAGCTATGATAAGATGAGCTTTGACCCAGTTTACTAACTGAATTTGGCATTTTTGCTTTAATCATTTTGTAGATGTATTTACACGGACATATCAACAGTACCCCATAAAAATCTATATAAGAATTGCCATTCTGAGGAAGGCCAGCGGCCTGTTCAGTTCATTATTCTGTCTCTGACAGTATCTCTGGAGTTGTTGGTTTGTAGGGAGGCTGTGGTTGCCCTCTCTGAGGGGAACCTCAAAAAGTTAGGAAGTATGATGTAACCACGATTCAATTCCCAAATTCTCTGTGCTTTTCCATATGTCTGCAGGTAAAGTTAGGCCATGTAATTCATTAATATTCTAGACAGTCAAATGTAAATATGTTTCCTGAGAAGAAATTAATCTTTCCCGGTTGTGATATAGAAACAAAACTTCTGATTGCTGTTTTGTTGAGAAAGGTCTCATGGAGAACTACCCTGTTCACAGAAACTTAGGGGTACTACAACTTCAGAAATGTTATATATTTTAAAAGGTGGTTGAGTGACAGGTTATAGTACCTTACTGTTGAGCTAACCTGGTAACACTTCCCTAAACTTAACCATTTTAACACTAAGTAAAATTATTTTTCTTAAAGGTTATTAAAATAAATGGAAAACTGTAAAAAAAACTCAAAACAAAGTTTCCAAGCTTGTTTCTCTAATCTGTGTTTGGCCAAAGACCAGGTTTTTAAATTTGTTATTTTACTACTCTTGTTTTATTAAATTGCTGCCTCTGACAAATTACATTTGTTTACTATTGGTTTAGAGGGATTCTAAACATCCTATTTTTCCCCCGCACTTCAAAAGCATGAATGTGAGCTTGCTTAGTATCCTGAGGGTTTGTTTGCATAAATTTCACCTGTTTCGGTGAGATGGTTTGACTGTTGGGAAGAGTGATGAATTTTATGCCTTTATACTTCTTACTCTTTATGAGAAGCTGCCTGCCTCATTTGATAGAAGTTAAGAATATAAGTGTGCATAGCATGACCTACCTGCCAGCAAAGGCAAACAAAACGACCTTTCTGTGCCTGATTCTCAGGTCTGTGTGTTACAGGGTATTTGGTGTCACTCAAGTGGTGTGTGTGTGTGTGTGTGTGTGTGTGTCACACACACACACATATATATCAGTCTTGTAGAAAACAAAATGGCCCATTTTTCTCAGATATTTATACAGGTTTCAAAATATGATTTTTTAAAAGTCATATTAGGAATAATAATTCCAAAATTGTGTCATTATTGTTGTTTTCCCAGTATTGAGAACTTGATGCGTTTCCTTTAGTATCCTAGATTGAAAGTTGTCAGGGAGCTTAGAAGCCCTATGATCCAACCCTTAATTCCCACAGAAGGTAAATGAATAACCAAGGGTCATACAGGCACAGGTAGGATTCAAAACCAGGCCTTCTGACTCCAAATCCATCATGCTTTCCACTGGAGCCAACCTCAGACTTTTGCTGTCATACTTTTCTTCCATAAGGTGGGCATTGAGGAGGAAATATCCTATGAGAAAATGATGTGTTCAAGGAGAAACCGATGATTTGATCAGAGGATCTCATTCAGGAGACAGAATATGATCAGTGAAAAAAAAGGCTTGTGTTTCTACTTATAACCCAGAGAGCAGTCAGGAAGAGCAGAAAGGGCACTGGGTTGAATGTCAGAAGACCTCATTCCAAACTCATATTCTGCTACATTCTACCTTTGTGACCTTGAAAAAGGTCACAAAATTTTGGTCCTCGGTGTGTTTACCTGAACTGGATAATGCTTTGATCCTGACTGGGTTTTAGTCTTGAATGTGTCACACTGATCTCAGCAGATCATTTAGTCTCAGTGACTTAGATTTGCCCACTATTTAAAAAATAAAAAAAAAAGTACAATCCTTTCTACTAATAAAGTTGCATTTTTGTGGAAGATAAAATGGACAATTGTGGTTGGATAAAATTGAAAACCTTCTGCCCAAACACAATAAATGGAAGTAAAATTAGAAAGGGAAAAGTTAACTGAGAAAAAAATACTTGCCTCAAATTTCTTTAAGGTAAATTGGGAACTGATTCAAATATACTAAGAATAAGGCTGTTCTCCAATAAATAAATGATCAAAGAATATGAACAGGCAGTTAAGGGAAGAAGCCCTAGCTTCTAGCCACATAAAAAATGCCCCAGATCATTAATCATTAGAGAAATGCACATTAAAACTCCTCTGTTGACCCAGCTCATACCCATCATACTGGTGAAAGTGACAGTTGTACGGGGACCATGGGAGAATGGCTACACTATGGCACTATTTCTAGAGCTGTGAATGGTCCAGCCATTCCATAAAGCAGTTTGGAATTATGTCCCCAAAAGTCACTAAACTGTGCAGTAGTAAATAAGCTTGATTCAGACCTATCCTCTGGTAGTTTGAGTCTTATACTAGAATAAAATGAAACACTTGTAGGTTGTTCAGCAGTTATAAAAAGGAAGTATACTTCACCGTAACACAGAAAGGATGTTCTAGGATACCATAGTTTTCTCTTGGGTAGATGTGGCTCCCCTTGTCTCTCCATAGGGAAACATCTATTCAGCAGGGTGAGGTAGCTCCACAGCCTTGAGACACCTACCAAGTCTGAAGGACCCTGACTATTTGTGAGTGGGCCTTTTTATGTCCTCAGGTGACCAGGAAAGCTCTTGACAACACGACAAGAAGCAATGAGGAAGCTACTTACGTAGAGATGCTTCAAGGGAGATATAGCTTGAGCTTTAGCCTTCTTTGCTGAGCAAATCTTGAAGACAGCTTCCTGGCCTTTTAGGTAAAGAACTAGCTTAACTTAGATGGGGAGGTGGAGAGAAGGGGGAATCCTGGTGGATTTTGATATTATCACGTGTGCATGTACTTTGACCTAGTAACATTACTCTTAGGCTCCAAAGGGCAAGTCACTGGTACCCACAAATTCTGAAAGAAAACATTTGGGTAAAGTCTCTGGACTCCTGTAAAAGATGGGACAAGAATTGTATCAGATGAGAAAGTAGGGATGGGGTGGAAATAATGTCTGCATCAAGGAGATGGCAGATTCTATTAAAGCACGGTAATTATACAGAGACATCAAATTGTGCTCCAGTCATAGCATTCCTTTTTTTTTTTGTGGGGCAATTAGGGTTAAGTGACTTGTCCAGAGTCACACAGTTAGTGAGTGTTATGTGTCTGAGGCAAGATTTGAACTCAGGTCCTCCTGACTCCAGGGCCAGTGCTCTATCCACTGCACCACCTAGGTACCCAGCATTCCTTTCTATAAGGCTTTACAGGTGCAGAGTAGAGACTCTACCTGTTAGTGGAAGTTGAAGTGAGAGGAACCTCAGTGAGGAAAGGAGGCAGAAAGGTACCACAGAGGATACGGGGCTGGATCTCAACTTTGGAGGGTAAGTCAAAACAATAAGTTTAATTGATAAAAGGCTTTATAGTTAACAAAGTAGATCTCATACATGCTATATTAGCTTCTTTCGATCTTCATAACCTGCTCCTTGATGTAGATAACAATTATTACTCTCATCTTCCAGATAATACAATTCAAGACTCAGTGACTTTGCCCTAGGTCATTCAGCTTGCTAGAGGCACAGAAACCTGACCAGAGCAAAGCTAGGGCTCAGACCCTAAGCCCTTCTGATTCCAAGTCCGGTTTTCATTACACCACCCCATTGCCTGGATTAGGGTATGGGGAGGGGAGGGCTTTCCAAGGTAGGGTAACAGTGAAGGAATGGAAGTGGAAATGAACATGGCAAATTCACAGGAGGGGAGAATAGTTTAACTAGAGGGGAGAGAGTACATTTTGAGAAATTGGGGGAAACAGATTTGGATAAGGTGAGGCCAGGTGTTAGAATTCATTGAAAGCTGGGCAGAAGAGCTGCAATTTAGTACATCATCCAGTATGATATAGTGGAAATACTACTGGATTTGGGTGAGAAGACATTCAAGTCCCAGCTCTGTTGCTTACTACCTCTTACTTTGGAAAGTTGCTTCTTTCTGGGCTCCAACTTCTTCTTTCTGTGCTATGAAGGAGTAGGTTTTTA